AGCTAGTTTGAGCTCATTTTGTGCCTTTGCCTTTCTAATCTTGCCCCATAGTGACCTTTACTCCATGGTGGTAGAGCCTTCAGGTTCTCCTTCCTTTGAAGGGCTAGGAAGGCTGATAGAGAGTAGGCAAACCTGATATAAAAATATATCCTCACAGGCAGCAGTGGGTAAAGCTTACATCAGTGGATAAAGACCACATCCATATAGCTAAAAAACACCAAACATGGTAGGCCATGCGTCCCTTGAGGAACCTCCCTTATGTCTAATCCTAACCTGTCCTGCTTTCGTTTAAGGCCACTGCTTCTTGTAATATGTCCTTAGTCAACTTAGAAAATAGGTCTCCCCTTTATGAGGTTCCCCTTCACTTTCTCAGACAAAAGGGAGCCTAAGGCAGAGATCCGGTCTGTATTCATGTACACTAGCTGCCCCACCATGCTATACCATCACCTCCACACACCCAAACAGAAGCTTGTAGGACAGCACAGTCAAGGACACATGGCAAGAAAGCATTGTGCAAACACATGGCCAAAACATGGACAGCCTTGGCCTCCAATGGATCATGGGTTTTGGGGGCTGAATCCAGTCTGTTCCAGGAGGAGCAAACTCTCCTTCTCTCCCTCCAAAGGATAGGTAAGCAGCACGCTCTTCCACTAGAGCCTGGAACTCACCACTAGTGAATTTCCCGTTTCCAAAAGGAGAATAACCTGGGTAGGGGGTAATTTGACCCTTAGGTCATATCCTTTAAGTATTTAATAGAATGATCCTACCTTCTCTTCTCACTTTATTCCTTTAAAAACAGGGCAAGAGAACCTGTGGCTCCTTAGAGCAATATTACAGCTCCCTTCATTGCCCATGTTATATACCGCATGGATTCTAGAGTGACCAGATGTCCCGATTTTATAGGGACAGTCCTGATTTTTGGGTCTTTTTCTTATATAGGCTCCTATTGCCCCCCACCCCGGTCCCGATTTTTCACACTTGCTGCCTGGTCACCCTAATGGAGCCTGCTAATCTGTGCTGCCAGACATTAACCAGTCTCACATGGTTGGCAAGCCAGCAACCACTCTCATTTTGTAGTAGTGAAGATGCTGTGCATGAACTGAGGAGAAGGCAGGATACCTAATCATTGCATAACACTGGCAGTGGCAAAGCAGAGATACGGGGAGGATCTTGAAGAGGATCATGGATAGGTAAAAGTAAAGGCTTAGATGCATCTTGTAAACCAAATTTGATTAGATTTGTCTCATTCCTCATTTCTTACTTGCAGGCAGCCTGACTGTGTGTACTCAGGTGGTGCAGCCTCTGGTAGCTGGCTACATGTAAACTTGGCAATTCCTGCATCAGGGAATCATTGTTTAGCATGGAGGGCAGTGTATCATGTAAGCTAAACAACAGCCTATCTGTAATAAAACAACGAATCCTGCACAAGCAGTGTCTGCCTCCCTTTCCCCCAGGAGTTAGACTGCCCCATTCACACTATCCCTGAGTTACAATTACTTAAGTCCTTTAACCATGATTCCTTTTACGTCAGACCTTCCAATCTGTTGATCATCATTTTTGCATTCATTTGTATTCTTTCTATGTTATCACTATCTTTTTAACGGTGAGATACCCAAATCTGTACACACTGGATCAAATTCAGCTCTGGTCATGCTGGAGTTCATGTGAAGTTCATACAGTTCAGTGGAGATATTCTGGATTTACACATATATAAATGAGAGAATTTTTCCCGTTATTCTATGTGGGGCCTCACTGATGCTTCATACAGAAGAATTATTACCCCCTTACAACCAAAAATGCTTCTCTTTAGAGATCACATTTACTTTTTAATCCTCAGTGCACTATTCCTCTTTTTAAAACCCTTTTGATAGCCTAATAGAACTCAAATTTACCTTCTGATTTGCTAGTCCCTTTGCCAGAAGGTAGTCCTTCATCTCGGCATTTCTGGTCAATCTGTGTTTCAGAAAAACAAGAATAAATGGTAGAGTTTGCTATTTAGAAGGCTTTTTAATAATTTCTACTCAGTGGATACTGCAACAATGTACAACATTGTTTCTTAAGTGGGCTAGTGAAAGATGTCATCCGGACTGTCCTGGAGAATAAAGTCGATTATTCATATAGAACGCATATAGCAATGGCAGCAGCAGTGCAAACTTCTCCATGTTGCCCTGCTGTTGAGCCTCAACACTGACCTGGAGGAAACCTTCTAGTGATGGCAGGAGTGTTCAATGTCTTTGGCCTTTGTGCTGAGACTGACAGTAAGGGTGAGGGACAATAAGTGATAATGAGCTTTGTGGTGAGAACATTTGTCCACTGGAAACTGGACTGAGACCCCACATTTATTTCTCAGTGGCCACCAGAGAGTTTTTGGGTGGCAACATCTTTCAATACTTGGGCTTGGACTTGAACCAATGATGTGGAGGTGAAGGACTCTATCCATTACCACTCCTCTGAGCCATCCAGTTCAGCCCCTCATAGCACAATTTATTAGTAGTAACTGATGATTAACAATTAATTATTATAAATAACACACTGTTTTTAAAAAAGATTGGGGCATTCCACTGTCCTCAATGCAGCTTTCATTCACATGCATCTTCTTCGCACAGCCTCTTTGAAAAGTCATGAGTAAGAAATGAGTAGGAATTTCAAGATTTGGCCCATTATATGTAAAGAGTCATCAGCACCACTGGGAGAATCCTCATTTTGATCTCATTTGCATCATTTGCTGGGTGCCCGTTTTACACCATTGTAACAACACTGACTTCCAAGGAGATACTTTTGATTTTTACACAGGGGTAAGCAAAATTAGAATCAGGATCTTCAACTTCCTAGTGGTCCCCCAGTTTATTGTGTGTCTGAACTGTGCTGTCTGTTTATAATAGATTATAAGCTCCTTGGAGCAAAGACCATGTTTTCTCTTTGCATTGGAGGATGCCAAGCGCACTGATGGAGCATCGTAATTAATAATAATAAAATATCTTCTTACATTGTAAACTCTGTGGACAGGGATAGTTTTTTTTGTTATTTATGCATACAGGGTATAGCATAATAGGGTCCTGATCCCTGACTGGGGCTTCAAAGCACTGCCACGGTAAAATCAATTAAAAAAATACTACTCTTACCCAATTATAAGCGTTGTTGATGAAAGTTATAGACAAAATGCCAATACAGTATGAAAGCAGGATTTGCCCCACAACCCCACAAAAGTCTTCATCATCCCCGTCACACTCCTTGTAATCTGGTTCTTGGCAGGCGATGGCCTCTACAGGGCCAGTATGTAAATAAAGCCACCAAAAATAGAGAAAAGGGAATCCCATTGAGTTTAGTTGATTAAGACACAGCACAATGTCGTTTCTCTCTTAGGAAATCGGATGAAAGAGGTCAAGATGGATTCTAATGCACCATGTGGTACCTTGGTAACCTATTGTTGACATTTATTTGTCTCAAGAGCTATCACAAGAAGTGGTCAGAACATGTTGATGACATCATTCTTGGAACCATAGTAACATGGATGTGTAATCTAAGCACAAAGAAGACCTATTGTATTATGTTGTGAAGTTGCATTTGCTCCAAACTTTATGTGTTTAGGTTTTTAGACCTGTTCCTGTGAGGTGCTGGGTGTCTTCAACTCCATTTCAAGTTCATGGGAGCTCAGGAAAATCAGTGCCTCCTAGGATTGGGCCCCTAATGTCGCACAATAATTCTGTTTTCATTTTTATGTTTCTGTTGCTTTTGTTCCTATGTTTGGGAAACGGATCAAAGATTGAAAGGCTTCCAGAACAACTGAAACCCTTTGATCACCACCCCGATGGGCTGGCTCTATAGCTCCATCCTCCACCCCCTTCTTCTCTTTCCTCCCTTCCCCAGGGCAACAGTCTCTTCTTACTATGTGCCTGTTGTGGGCACCCACTGCTCCTGTCTCTGGGTGGCTGGCACAGCTGCTACTGCTAAATATGTGTTTGATGGTCAGCTGCAGTTCTGGGTCCCCCCTACACTGTTCCTCTCTCTGTTGCTGCTCCCCTTAATGTCCCAGTCTTCCACTCCCACCCAGTCTTCTCACCTCAAAATGTTGTTGTGACAGGATTGTCAGGGTGCAACCTGGGACTGTGCCCCCTTAACTCACTAATCTGGGTTGTCTCTGTCAATAACTTACTGGTGACAAGCAGCGAACCCCTCCAGATGCTGTTACCACTCAGTACAACCACATATGCAGCCCCATACCCAGCCAGATTGTATGAATGCTCCCAGAGCCACTCACAAATCACGCAGAGAAAGGCACCAGCCAAATCCCCCCAGCTCCCAGCCTTGTACCACCAGAATATATTATCTTGCAACTCCTCAAGACCCTTTCTTGAGCTATTCAAGTTTATTAATTGATTCACCATTTCATCAGTGGAAAGTGGACATGCACCAGCCTTTGTAACCTGAGCAGATTTACCAAGCACTTCAGTCAAACCCACTGGTAAGGATAAACACTAGAATAAGTTTATTGATTACAGAAGATGGATTTTAAGTGATTATAAGTGATAGGCAAAAGTCAGAGTAATTACCAAAGGAAAATAAAAGATAAGCACACAGTCTAAATTCTCAACCTTATTAAACTAGGCAATATCTGGACTAAGCAGTTTTTCTCACCCCGCCGGATACTGCAGGTTGGTTACAGTCTTTCATATGCAGGCTCTCCCTGTTAGCCTGGGAACCAGTCTCCTCAGCTCCAGTATTCTCCTCATTGCCTTCAGTGTAGGTGGGAGAGGAGAAAGGATAAACTATGCAGCCTCTGCCCCATTTTATATCCTCATTCCATGTGCTTGGAGAACATAAGTCCAAGCACATCTGGGCATTGCTGAGCCACCAGGCAAGGTTGGGCAATTCCCCTGATGTGGTCTTGCACAAGTGAGTCATTGAATTGTAACTCCCTTGCTGGACAATGGCTGTTGATCCTGGTTTGACACCTGCCCAGGTGTGGGTTACCTCCCTTGTTGTTGTCTCTGGGGAGCTAATATCTGGGCGATTCCACAACTCACACCATATTTTAGTGACTACCTGTAGCAGGGTGACGACTCACCGGCGCGGCGCCTCCTGCTGGTTGTCTCGGGAATTAGCTCTTCCTCAGCAGAGATCTTCACAGCAGTTGAGTCACGGCAGCAGCTAGAGAGGTATCTCAGCCTAGAAACTAGAGAAGCCACCAGTAGTCATCACTCTTTGACAGAGCAGAAGGACCTTGAGATGATCCAGAGGGAATTGTGGTGTTTGTGTAAGTCTAATCTTATTTACGATCCAAGAATGTATGAGTTTCGCCTGTAAATAAAACTGGATACCTGTGGTGTGTATGAGATCTTCCCCTCCCTAGATCAGCACTTATTGTATGTTAGTGTAAATAGTTAAGTATAATATGCTGAATTGATGAAATGTTATAGGTCGGGGTCGGCAACCTATGGCACGCGTGCCAATGGTGGCACATGAGCCGATTTTTAATGGCACGCCGAGGTCCCGGTGAAGGGAACTCCAGGCCGGTAGCGGGCTGAGCGGAGCCGGCGGCTGAGACCCCGGCTGGCAGGAACCGGCGGCCGGAACCCCAGACTGCCAGCGGGCTGAGCGGGGCCCCGGCCCTGCTCAGCCCGCTGCCAGCCCAGGGTCCCGGCCGCCGGTCCCGCTCAGCCCGCTGCTGGCCTGGATGGATGGAACCCTGGGCCGGCAGCGGGCTGAGCGGGGCCAGCGGCTGGCAGGAGCTGGCGGACGGAACTCCAGACCGGCAGCGGGCTGAGCTGCTCTGGGGTCCCGGCCGCTGGCCCCGCTCAGCCCGCCGCTGCTCTGGGGGTTCCGGCTGCTGGCCCCTTGCCAGCCGGGGTCCTGGCTACCAGGACCCCAGCTGGCAAGGGGCCGGCAGCTGGAACCTAGAAGTGAAAGTAAAGCAGAGCGTGCATGCTCGGAGCCGGCCGATGCTGGGGCGCTCTGCTGCGGCTGGGTCCTGCTGGCTGCCGGAACTCTCCGGCAGGCTGGCGCTGGCGGCCCTGTGCACCGGACTAAGCAGCAGGCAGGCAGGCAAGTGAAACGGGCCGGCGGGAGGCGCGGTGGAGGTGTCTGCGTCCCAGCCTGTCCTGCTGCCCCTCTCTCGCCACTGGGGCTGGATACCAGGGCACTACAGGAATGTGCCGGCCCTGCGGCATGCACAGCTGCAGCCCCTCGGGGGGAAGGGAGCGGCAGGCCAGGGGGTCTTCTGCCGCCACCCCTCATTTGCCTGCAGATGCAGTGCCCCCACACAGCTGGCCCACAACTCCCTTGGCAGGAACAGCATGGGGCAGGGACCCATCCAGCATCCAGGTAACCCGGCTGCAACCGGGACTGTCCCAGGCCAGCCCCAAGCCCCCGCCCCCCCAGGGGCTGCATTCCCCCCTACATACACACCCCAACCCCCTGCCCTGAGCCCCTCGTGCCACCCAGCCCTGACTCCTGCATCATCCACATCCCCATCCCCACCCCCTGCCCTGAGCCCCCCGCACCCCAAACCCCTGCCCTGAGTGCTCCCCCCCCCACACCCACACATCCCCAGCCCCTGAGTTCCTCCCCCCTGAGGGGGTTGCAATATGACAGTACCTGTAAGAAATTTAAGTTACTTTCACCCCTGCTGGAACCCCAGACCAGCAGTGGACTGAGCGGAGCCAGCGGTGGGCTGAGTGGCTTCTCCTGCTGCTGGTCTGGGGTTCCGGCCGCCGGCCCCGCTCAGCCCACTGCCAGCCTGGGGTACCGGCAGCCAGCCCAGGGCTCTGCTCCTGACCTCGACCCAGCGCTCTTCAGTTACCCCCTGCTGTAGCCCACATTGGAAAACTCAGCAAGGAAAAGCGAGGGCAAGGATCACACTAAACTGATAAGATCTGCATTTTAATTGTATTTTAAATGAAGCTTCTTAAATATTTTAAAAACCTTATTTACTTTAAATACAATAATAGTTTATTTATATAATATAGATTTATAGAGAGAGACCTTCTAAAAACGTTAAAATGTATTACCGGCACGCAAAACCTTAAATTACAGTGAACTTGGCACACCACTTCTGAAAGGTTGCCTACCACTGTTATAGGTTATATTAATACATTAAGTGAATGGTTATATTGTCATATGTTATAAAGTCTGTGTCTTTATTGCCGTGGCGCTTCATTCTTTAAATTGTAACTTTTATTATACTTATTTCTATGTTTTCCTGATTTATCTAACATTGCAATTATTTTTCTAAATAAATATTATTTTTGTTTTCGAAGAAATTACTGCTTGTGTGCCTATTCTTGATCGGAGGGCTGTATCCTTGTCCTTTCAAGGGTCAGCAAGACTAGCTTACTCTGGGGAGCCCTCTGTATAACAGAGAGAAGCACCCTGGTAATATCCTGGAAATTCCTTTAGGGTGGACCACAACCTTGGTTACCAGGTTGGAAAAATTATAAATTAAGGTTTAAAATCAAAAGCTTTATTTTTAGGTAACATCACTGGCTTAATATAATTAGATCCAAATTTTCCAGTAACACTGTGAGGTGGCAAAATTTAAAGACAATATAAAACTACTCAAGATCATTAAGTCTAAAACTAATTGCAAAGGGTTACAAAGAGATCTCACAAAACTGGATGACTCGGTGACAAAATGGCAGATGAAATTCAATGTTGATAAATGCAAAATAATGCATGTTGGAAAACATAATCCCAATTATACATATCAAATGATGGGGTCTAAATTAGCTGTTACTACTCAAGAAAGAGATCTTGGAGTCTTCATGGATAGTTCTCGGAAAAATATCCACTCCATGTGCAGCAGCAGTCAAAAAAGTTAATAGAATGTTAGGAACCATTAGGAAAGGGACAGATAATAAAACAAAAAATATAATGCCACCATATAAATACATGGTACACACATACCTTGAATGTGCAGTTCTGGTCACCTCATCTCAAAAAAGATATATGAGAACAGAACTGAGAAAACTACGAAGAAGGGCAACAAAAATGATTAGGGACATGGAATAGCTTACATGCAAGGAAACATTAAAAGGACTGGGACTGTTTAACTTAGAAAAGAGACAGCTGTGGGGGGCTGTGATAGAGGTCTATAAAACCATAAACGGGGTGGAGAAAGTGAATAGGGAAGTGTTATTTACCACTTTACATAACACAAGAATGAGGGGATCACCCAAGGAAATTAATAGGCAGCAGGTTTAAAACAAACAGACGGAAGTACTTCTTCATACAGTGCAGTCAACCTGTGAAACTTCTTGCCCCAGGATGTTGTGAAGGCCAAAAGTATAACTGGATTCAAAAAAGAATGA